GAAACTGGTCTGTAGTTCTCTAAAAGAGTTGGGTTAAGAGTGGGTTTCTTAAGAAGTGGGGTTATACGAGCCTGTTTAAATGTTGAGGGCAAAACACCAATTTTTTTACTTTTAATTATTATTATTATTGTTTTTTTTAACACCAAACAAAATTGGATGTCTTTTCAACATCAGTTGCCCTATGGGCCTTGCCTCTGTCCTCGATGATATTTATTTATTTGTTTTGACCCATTACATAAGGGTGTAGAACAATTCATATTAAAATTTATTTACTCAGAAAAGATAAGTAAAAATCACATTAGACAGAATTAATACAAAGAAAAGAGACAGGAATTTGATAGCTTTTCATACATTTATATAATTTTATAGTGTTGTTTTAAAACATATGTAACTGGGATTTTAAGTAAAGAGTTCTGTATTGCAATTCCATACCACAACTACTACAACTACAAATAAGTAACACCATTTAACATGCATTTTTCTAATATTTCCATAACAGCTCCCCCTGTTGACCCCTGCTACAACTACAATGTCCTTGACGATCCATGGAGATCCACCAACAATCAACATTCCTCTCAAATAATGTGTGACACTTGGGTCAGCTGGAATGGCTGGTACCGTCTCTTCATTCAGGGTCAGAGCGTTCAGATGCCAGACACATGTGTTGAGGAGTATAGTTGTGGCACTCATGCTCCACTGTGGCTGGATGGAGGACATCCAACAGTTGAGGATGGAGTGGTCACTCGAGATGTCTGCGGTCACTGGAACAATGACTGCTGTGCTTTTCTGTCCAATCCCATTAAAGTCAAAGCCTGTCCAGAAGATTATTATGTCTATGAGTTTGTGAGTCCAACTACCTGCAGTTTGGCATACTGTGCAGGTAAATACATTTACATGTGCCCTCTGTTTATGTAACAGATCATTGTTTTCATGTAATATTGTTTTTTCAGATGCAAGGAACATGAACACTACCTCTACAACTGTAATGCCAGAGACAACCACAGAAACTACAGCAGAAACCACAACAACTGGTAATACAATGTGTTGTATAACAATCTGGAGGATTTTTGTTTTATGTGAGCAAATCAGATCCATGTTATGTGTTATTACATATGTAAAGAATTTAACACAGATCACCATGCCAAACAGCTTGACTAATATTATCAGTGGACCTTAAGGGGGAATTGATTATAAATGCTTAAAGGGTTAGTTCACCCAAAAATGAAAATTAGCCTGTGATGTACTCACGCTTGAGGCATCCTGTTTAGGACTTTCTTCTTTTAGACGAGTCCAATCCGAGTTATATTAAAAATGTTCCTGGCCCCTCCAAGCGTTTTCATTGCAGTGGGCGGGTGCTTTTGTGCAACAGTCCACAAGACGTCAAATAAAGCACACGCATCCAAAATAAAACGTGCCTCACACTGCTCTGGGGAGTGAATAATGGCCTCCTGTAGTGAATCCATGCGTTTTTGTAAGAAAAACATCCATATTTCTAACATAATAAACACTTTTCTCTCACTTCATCTGTCTGTCGTATGCGAAAGTCGTTCCGGCGGATGACATAGGACGTATGGGTCGCATGCGCGCGCACCTCTGAGATATGCTAGTCTCACGAGTGTGTTTACAGGAGCAAAAGAAGCAAAGTTTCCTTACTTTAGCAAAGGAAAACCAGTCTTCTCTTGGCTTATATCGAAATCCTCCAACATTTTTCTTTACAAATCCTCGTTTTGTACTTCTAATTCGTGACTGGCATTTTATTTTGTTCTCTCTCCATGTTCTTCACTAATCACGCTACGCCGACGTCCTACGTAATCCGCCGGAATGGCTTCCGCATACGACAGATAGATGAAGTGAGAGAAAAGTGTTTATTACATTTGAAATATGGATATTTTTCTTACAAAAATGCATGGATTCGCTACATGAGGCCTTTATTCACCCCCGGAGCCATGTCAGGCATGTTTTATCACGGATGCACACACTTTATTTCACGTCTTGTGGACTGTTGTACAAAAGCACCCGCCTACTGCAATGATAATGCTTGGAGGGGCCAGGACAATTTTTAATATAACTCCGACTGGATTCGTCTAAAAGAAGAAAGTCCTATACACCTAGGATGTTATGAGGTTGAGTAAAACACAGGCTAATTTTCATTTTTGGGTGAACTAACCCTTTAAAGGATTCATGTAATTCACTAGAAAAAAATTAAATTAAATTAAATTAATTAACTTGAGACCAAGAGCAATAATCAGTCAAGGGCCCAGAATGTTTAGAATAAGGATACATGGTAATGTAACAGCTTGTATCTGCAACACTTAGTTATAATAACATTTCTTTCTGTTGGTGGGGTAATATGTAAAGCTGAGAATTGATTACTGTAGGTTACTAATCAGTGCTTATGTTTACATTTATGTTTTTTTGCATTTAGCAGACACTGTTTTACAAAACAGCTTCTTCTTCTAGGTAATAGAAATCCCTGCTCTGAACTCAGCTGCTCTGAGGATGAAAGATGCGGGATGAAAAATGGTGTTTATGGCTGTTTGTGTGAAAAGAACCATCACAGACAACGACAACGTCATGACTCTTTTGGTTGGTAACATTCCACAACAAAATGCAAAAAAAAAAAAAAAAAAAAAAAAAAAAAAAAAAATTATAATAATTCCATCATATTGGCTTTTTTTTGGTCAGATTTCTCAGAAACCTGTGAAAGCAGCTCTGGCTCCTTGTCTGTGTCTCGCTGTCAGCTCTTTGAGGCTGGTTTTCCAGCTGACCTCTTACACCTCAATGATCCTAGCTGCAAAGGAACGGTCCGGAATGGCAGAGTGGAATTCCATTTTGATAACGATGAACTCATCTGTGGTACAAATCTTGTGGTATGATTAAATATGTATTATCTATTCAAATACACCATCCAAACATTTGTAGTGCCTGATTAAATCAGCAGTTGGATTTGGATTTAAACAATTGGAGAATCTCTCTGAGACTTTGAGAATATCTATGGAGGATTGTTTGGGCCCTTTCTTTGGTTACAGATTGATTCTGTGGAGGGCCCAAACAGACCACCCTAAAGACTACTCAAAGTCTCAAAGAGTTTGTGTGTGTTTCTAATTTGAAATACAAATTTAATTTGAGCAAAATTCCAAAAAGTATATATGTTGTATATGTTGTCCACAGGCCAACGGCACCCATTTCATCTACAGTAACTTTATTCTGGGGACACCGAGGTCAGAAGGTCTCATCAGCAGAGAGAAAATCCTTAAGCTTTCGTTCAGCTGTGTTTATCCTCAAACACAAACACTTTCCATGAATGCGGAAATCAACCCACTGGAGAGGTGCGAGTCAAATACACTTTTATTAAAGAAGTAGTTCACCAACATGGAATTTTTCTCATCATGTTGTTTAAACTCTCATGTCTTTATTTGCTCAGTGGAATGTTACTAGTCACATTTTTCAATGCAGTTAATCATCATGAGGATTTTCAAGCTTCAAAAAGAAAAGAAAAAAACCCACCACCACAAATGCATTTCTAAAATGGTCTATATTACATATACGAATGAATCATTCTGACAAAAAGATCAGACATCACTACTTCTCTAATGATCTGTCATGAACGCACCAAAGAAAATATTGTGGATATCAAAATTTTCAGTGAATAATGATGGGAGTTTTTGTGTGATCGAATCGTTTAAGCCGAAAAATAAATGTATTGTATTGTTATTTTTTTTAACAAAGAATAGATATTTTACCAATGACACAGTCATTTTAAAACCGATCTGTCCATTATTTCAACAGCATTGTGCACAAGACGCTCCCCGCTGGTGAAGGGAGATATCAGGTTCGGATGATTCCATATGAGGATGATGAGTTTACCCGGCCCTTCACTGGTAAAGTGGATGCAGAGCTCGACCAGAAGATGAATGTGGAAGTTCGTGTTGAGGGGGTTGACAGCCGCCAGTTTGCCTCAGTTATGGACACGTGTTGGGCTACACCTGTGAATGATCCTGATTACAGTCTCCGCTGGGATCTCATCGTCACAGAGTAAAACTATTTATAATCCTTAAAGCTCAGGCTTAACTGTAACTGTAACTTTTAGCATTGCCTCAGAATTGTGACTTTCAGTATTTTAGAACTAAAGCACAAGATCCCATGTTTTATACCTGGAATTCAAATGTGTAACGATTTACAGAATCACTTTTGAACTGAATGAAAGCATTTGATTTGTTGACTGTCATAATTGCTATTCTCAGGTGTCCCAATCCAAATGACGACACAGTGGAGCTGCTGCAGAATGGCGTCTCGACATCCAGCCGTTTCTCCTTCAGGATGTTCATCTTCACTGCAAACTCCACGAAGCTTTACCTGCACTGTGCTGTTCACCTTTGCCTTCTGTCAAGCAATCACTGCTCAATGGTGAGTTTAGAACTTATAATGGTTTACGAGTCTGCTATTGATACATTATTTTTAATCAAACACTAAATATAAGCAGAGAAATATCACCCTTAAGGTCCATGGTGGTGAGGTTTAATGACCAAACTACTTATTTTGGCTGCCCTCTGCTGGAGACTTTGTGCACTCCTGTTTCTTTTTTTTTCTTCTGTTTTTCTTTTTTTAGGACTGTAACTCTGAACATCACTGGAGAAAGCGCAGGTCTCTGGACTTCCATGACAGTGCTTCCATATCCATTGGTCCTCTGATGTTGTCTGAAGGCAATACAGGTGAACATTTTATTTATCCTCCATAAAATGTGCTGCACACATCTGAATATTTGGGTTGAACTGTTCTGGAGCAGTGTTGTAAATACAACTTAACAACTTAAAGGCCAAACAAAGTTTTGCTTTCACAACGAAACCCACATCGTCACACACAGCGGGCTTGAGTGAGTGGCGGCAGGCTTTAGAACGGTGCGGCTGGCGTATTCGATGAAGGAGCGGGCGGCGGGCTTGCGGCAACCACATGTGACGACCCCGGGCTGGACTCCGCTTCGTCCACGGGGAAAGCCGATCCAGCGATCCACAGTGCAAAGTAGTAGTATTTCCTCAGCGACCAGCACGGATCATGACGAAGCGGATATCGTTGGAAGACCAAACAAAGTAGTTTCGCTTTCACAACGAAACACACAGCGCCTTCACGACATGGCGGCGGCGGCAGCAACAATACTACAGCGAGAATAAAAGTTTCGCCTTCTTTATTTGTGTGAACATTTGGGCGGCGTTATGCAAATCTTCCCACATCGTGACGTAGACATGTGGGGTTAGAACGAGCTGTTTTAGGGGGGCGTGGTTGACTCTTAACTTTTATAAAGAATATCTATTTGGATTTGAGACTTTAGTCTTTGCAACTTTACAGATCTTCTTTATGCAACAAGACCTTGTATCACTTCAAAGATAAAGGAAAAATTTTAATCGCATCATATGACCCCTTTAATCATTTGTAAATAAAGATTTATAATGATTTCTTCCTTGAATGCATTTCACTTCATTGCATTATATTCTCTGTTCACAGATAAGTGGGTCCCAGATCAAGTGAAGGTATCTGAGGCTTCTTGTCTGTGTGCTTCTCTGATGCTGTTACTTGTTCCTCTGATGAGTGTCCTGACCCTCTTTTAGTATATTTTCACAAAAAATGCATGTTGTCTATTAATGTGGAACTGATGCTACACTTGTGGTGGGTTTCTAAATATTTCTTTATTTCATTAGTGTTTTTTATTTGGTGTCATAAATAATGATTTAACCCTTTTACATTAGTTATTATATACTACATTCATTCTGTTTTACTTGAGAGGATGTTCTGCAATAACAAACAGAATTAAATTTGCTTTAATTCAAAAATAATAATAGGGTCATTTCTGTTTTGCAGTTCCTTTTCAAAATTGAAAACTTTTAGTAGTTGATGGAAATTCTTCTATAAAAGGCTGATTGTCAGAAATAGCAGAACTGAAATGTGATATTGTGATAGTATAACATTATGATTTCTTTCTTTAAGAATTATACGTTTAATAATATTCATATTCTGGCATTTATTATGGGGCATAAATTATAGGGGTATTATAATAATTCCGTGTGAATGCCCCAGAAGGTAAATGAATGAATGAATAAATAAATAAATAAAAATGATTGTTAAGCAAAATGAGTTTTCTTATCCCTCCCCCCCCCCACCGTTTAATTTTATAGGCATTTCCTTTCAGTAAAACTAAGAAAAATATTATCAATGATAGCATTATCTTTCTTTGCAATAATTTTGCTTATTGTTCATTAATCTAGATTTAAACAGAGAGAGTGTGTCTGAACCCCGAACATTATCAGGAAGGCTATTCCAGAGTTTGGGAGCCAAATACGAAAAAGCTCTACCTCCTTTAGTGGACTTTGCTATCCTAGGTACTACCAAAAGTCCAGAATTTTGCGACCTTAGGGAGCGTGATGGATTGTAGCGTGGTAGAAGACTAGTTAGGTACGCAGGAGCTAACCCATTAAGGGCCTTATAGGCAAGTAATAATATTTTGTAACTGAAACGGGACTTAACAGGTAGCCAGTGCAGAGACTGTAAAATTGGTGTAATATGATTATATTTTCTTGACCTGGTAAGGTGTATAACAGTGAAAACACGAAAAGCCGTAAAAACTCGTCTTTGGCGGGGAAGCGTTGTCTTCTAAAAGACGAGATAACTCGTCAATGGCGGGGAAAGAGTTAAATGTGACCCTGGAGCACAAAACGAGTCATAAGGGTCAATAAAATTGAGATTTATACATACTATGAAAACTGAATAAATAAGCTTTACATTGATGTATAGTTTGTTGGGATTGGACAATATTTGTCCGAGATACAACTATTTATAAATCTGGAATCTGAGGGTACAAAAAAAAATCTAAATACTGAGAAAATCGTCTTTAAAGTTGTTCAAATGAAATACTTAGCAATGCATATTACTAATTAAACATTAAGTTTTGATATATTTACGGTTGGAAATGTACAAAATATCTTCATGGAACATGATCTTTACTTAATAACCTAATGATTTTTGGCATAAAAGAAAAATAGATAATTTTGACCCATACAATATTTTTTTGGCTATTGCTCAAAATATACCCCAGCGACTTAACACTGCTTTTGATCAAATTTGTGACCCTGGAGCACAAAAGCAGTGTTAAGTCGCTGGGGTATATTTTGAGCAATAGCCAAAAAAATATTGTATGGGTCAAAATTATCGATTTTTCTTTTATGCCAAAAATCATTAGGTCTCATGCTCATCTGTCTTCTTCGCAACAGCCTGTGACACATAACATTTGTGTTTTATTCATTCGTTTATTTCTGAAGAGTGTTGAACTTTCTTCTCCCACATCCAATTCTTCAGTTGAAAGGTTTGTTTGAGCTGCGCTGTACTGTACAGACATTAATTTTACATTTCCTTCAGCCTCAGTCTTATTCATTTCACTTTCACATTTAAGTTTTTTACGTTTGTGCACATTACTTTTTATGTGCACATTACACATTACATTACATAATGTGCATAAACTGCAATCACCAGAAATGATCATAGCAAGATAATCGAGAATATAATAAAAACACTGTTGATGCAGTGTTGAGAGTAATGTACTGTAAGTAGTTCTTGGTGAATCTTGTTCAACTGGTTGCAACAATTACTGGAACTTTCAGTGATTGACAGCTGCAGTCTGGTTACTAGATAAAGAGACTTTGCAGCGTCATTGTCTGGTGGCTTTCTAAAGGTCCTACAATGTATAAAAATGACAAGAAACTTTACTATCCAGATGACCAAACAAATGAGGAAAAATCTGAGATAAAGTCATACTATGCTGTAGAGAATATTTTTTTTACATATTGGTACTAAGTTTGTTGCTGAGGAAGACTGAGGCAGAATCAATCCAATTAAAATGTAGTTGTTAATTGTCAGTGCTGCACTTGCTCTTGTTACATTTTCTTAATATTGAAAATTCATGAAACCTAATGCATTAATGCAACATTTATTTGACTCCTTTTTCATTATTTTACTCCTTTTTATTATACACTAAATACTAAAGTTTCCCGACAAGCATTGCACATTTGTAAAATTAGAGAGTTAAATTAACAGTGACACATAGAGAAACTTTTACTGCTCATTTATTTATTCCTTTCCCCTTTATATTTGTATTAGTCTGTACATATCCAGAGGAGACATAACTGTCAGGACACATTAATGTGCATCACATGTTTTTTGGGACGTGGGTTTTTGAATAATGAGCTAAAATGTGCAGCGGAGTAATGTAAAACATTCCTAAGGAGCGTAATTCTGCACCTTCAATAAATATATGAATATAATGTTCACTTCCTTGAATTCTGCAAGAATAGACTTGATTCTTTACTTGAAAGGAATATAATATATGAATATAATGTTCACTTCCTTGAATTCTGCAAGAACAGACTTGATTCTTTACTTGAAAGGAAATAATCTAATGATCAATCTTTTTTTTTCTTTTTTTTTTTTTTCTTTGTTTGTTTGTTTTTCATTGTGGGACATTACCTCTTTAGGAATGTACCAATATTTTTGTGTTATTTTGTTAGTTTGCTCATCTAAAATCTTAATCATTGCTTGTATCCCTCCAGTGGTCTTTAAGTTAAATTTAAACCTTATTGAGCATCATTAACATGGCTAAACAATATTTACTAACAGAATTATTTAACATAATATTAAATTAATTAGCATTATTCTTTTGTCACCTTTAGCTCAGTCTTTAGCTCAAATGTTTTATCATACTGTTTTTGTGAAACTGCTGAACAAATCAAACTTGTCGTCATTCCATCTACATTCTCATTTATTCGAGCAGAGAGTAAAATAATGTATTTCTAAATGTAGTCGCACACAAGGAAACAATCAGTTCAAATAACACAAATTTTCATATCTCATTAAAACTGGTTTAAGACATTATTCAGAAATAGGGTTCCAAAAAGGTGATGCGTTTCCAGTAAATTTCAGAAACATTCCAGAAATTTTGGAAACTTTCCAGAATTTTTTGTAATCTTCCAGGAATATTTGCAAAGCTTCCGGAATTTTTTTGGAGATTTTCCACCCCTTTGCAACCCTATTCAGAAATATCTTCTAGTTCCAGTTATGGTCGACCCACAGTTATTAATAAAGGCATTGATAAGTGTGTGAGATTGTGCAGTTCATCACTGTATTCAGCTGCTGAAAAGAGAATCTCCCTGAGTTTGCTCTGCAGCAACATTTGACCTCAGGTAAAGTTATTTAAAAATTAAAATGATTAATATAATATTATTATACTAAATAATTAAAATAAGAAACATATTTAATGTATTTGTATGTTGTATATGTGCAGGAGGTGCCGTTCATCACAATGAGGTTTCTGATCTCACTGTGTGTGTCACTACTGCTGCTGATTAATGGTGAGGGATTTGTCATCTGACATGTGCATTAAAATGATACTGTTAGCAAGTGAAATGACTGCGTTTTTAATTTACTATGTTTATATTGTGTACCTACAATAAGAAAGGACCTGTTCTTTGCCATTAAAGTGAAATGACTATACCTAAACATAGGAGTCTGATAAAAATGCTCATTTAGTAAGAAAAAATGTCAGGTGGCATTTAGAGGCTTTTGTAGCTGTGGTGAGATTTAATTAAAAAATCTGATTTTTGTTTTGAGAGAAAATCTGAAACCAGGCACAACGTGTTTGGAATTTGTGGCATTTATGTACTGCACACATCTCAAATGTTTTACGATCAGTTATTATGTGAATGGATGAATAAACAAGCGAATGAATGAATTGGTTAATTCTAAAATGTACATTTTACAATTGTGACTTTTTTATATATATATA